AATTTTAAAATCTAATTTTTAACTATGTTTTGAACAATTACACGCAATTGCAGCTTGTTGTAAATGTATGTACCTTCACTCTTATTTTTTACTCTAATTTGACCGGACTATTAACCATTTATATTAAAATTTAAGTAATTAAATATGATTGTAAGCAAAAATATAATCAATTCATAAAACTATGATTTGCTAAATTCGTATACCTATATCAAAATTTTCCTATTTTTCGAAGTAATAAATCGATATCATATTGCGAAAAAATGGTGGGTGATAAGAAAAACTGCCATGAAATACAGTTTCAGTATACAAAGATGCATAGGATTTAGGTAAATTTGATGAAAAGTTTTCACAAACCTTTTTTTCTGTTAGCCTGTTTAATGTAAGAGGTATCTGCTTTAGGGACAACCGTAGCACTTTGTTGTATCATCGTCTTTAATAATATCTAGTGCAGTAATAGACAAAACGTCAGGCATACTAGTTTAAATATTTTTTGGTCAAATAAGAGAACCATCTGGAGCCGACAGGTTCAGAAACAAAATTTTGGGAAAAGTTGAATAGTTGAAGCAGTATCTCACAGCAATATTTGTAAATGTTAGCAATTTTGTACTTATACAAAAATCCTCACTTTCATAAATATGCTTTGGTAGTCGCATATTTTTACCGTTTGTATATTGTAATACTCTAAATTATGTTCCACATAGATAACAGCACAAGAAGTAATGATTGGAAGCTCATTCATGATATGATAGAGTAGTAGTCTGTAGAGATGGGAAATACTGTTCCTTCGTTGGATTGCGACTGGAAAATACCGCGATGAATAGAACACTTAGGCGTTTTCTGGCGCTCATGTATTCAAAACGTAGGTATTCGTCTGTGATTCAAATACATTCATTCTGGCGTTGAAACGATGACGTCACATCAAGGAATTTGACGTTATGTTACGTCAGTTGCCAATTTCTGCTTCATTTTGATCGTTATAGTTTATATTTTTAATAAAATATGTTGTAAGGATGTATAAAATAAAGCAGCAAAATTATTACTTACATACATCCGATTATAATAGAGGTTAGAGAAAATTGAAAAGTTATTATAATATAACACAAATCTTACATAACTAATTCATTATAACATTAAAAACAACAGTACAAAAATAACATTTCAAAACTCTCAGAGGTGCGAACTTGTTTCCTCCTTTTCATAAAAAAGGATGTATGCATCTCCACTCACAAGCGATTTTGGTGAAATTGGTGATACGTGTGAATCATTGTATTCGTGCCACGTGCCAGTATAAGAATGTCTGCAGAATTCTGTATAATGTCCGCTGTAGGTAGATCCAGTGTGATTCGAAAGTGCATATAGATTATAACGACAAGGAGTCACATTTTCTGCTGCATAATTGTTCATGTCTAATCCATCTAGAGGAAATTCGATGGCAACATTTAACTTGCCTNGAACCTCTGCAGTGGCTAGAGCTCTTTTTATAAGATCATTAATGGAATGATGTCTTGAAAATCTGCCAGAACTAAATTTACAACTTAGGCTTCTACTTCAACTTCTACAGTGGATCCACATCTGCATTTATGACTAACACAAATTGAAGAACCTAACCGAAGACCTATCGATATTTTAAAGAGGGTACCCAAAGAAGCCACGGGAAGAGCATTCAGCCAGGCACCAGAGTCTTTGGACATAACAGCTTTGAGTCTAGCCATTTGAATATCGAAACGTTCAGCTGACTCAAGAAGTTGATTATGATTATTGAAAAGTGTATTTTTATTATTGAATTTGACATCTGACATAAACTGAATCACTCCATTCTGGCGAATCTTATTATTATTGATGGCATCACTACGAATTGTTTATGAATACATGCTGGAATAAGATTGAACACCAGAAAACACCTCTCGTCTCGATTACTGATTTCTATACCAAAATATGCAAAGTAAACTTTGTTCATAAAGTCAGTAATGTTCCTTTGATGTTTTTAATTACATAATTAAGGCAAAAATAGCAAAAGTCATTATGACTATTTTACTCAATAGTGAAATGTGAAAAATTAGTTGAAATTTTAGGTTGTTGGCCTGTAGGTATTATAAGAAGGTGTCTCCAATTTTACTTCATTGGTGGTGGATGTGACCGGGTCAGTGTGACGTCGTTCCTATTGGTTGAATCAATTGACCTGATCTATGTACAGTTTAGAACAGGTAGCCAGGTTTTACTTATGTTAATTTCTGCTTTCTTTCAATTCAAATTGTCTCTGAAAATAAGAAATTCTATGGCCTTCCTTTTTCGTATAGTAATTCTGAGTTTTGGCAAATATTTGTGTTTCTTCCAAAGATATATGTTAATATCTTCTTTGACTGCATGTTGGGCTATAACTGATTTTTTGGTAAGCCCGAGGCAACAATTTCATTTGTGTTCAGAGAACGGGCTACTTATACTTCTCTTCGTAGTTCCAGTATACTACCAGTATTGCCAAAGGTTTTCTGGGATCCTTAAACTTTCTCTGATATGTTGTATTTATCTAGAATTCTCCGAATTTTGACTGTAATATTTTCATTTCAATTTTTTAAAGGAGCGATAATATTCAATTTCGATGATCACATATTTAATTCATCAAAACTTCAACATAATTCACTCATTATAATTTTTTACTTACTGCCTATGAAAAGAACATTTACCCAACAATTACCAAAAGTTGTTCAGGACAAATAACAAATGAAACTAGGATGCACTTATTATACCTTTATTTTATACTTGTTTACAATAATTCTCATACAAATATGATCTACAAAAATGAAGTTGTATTGTATCATACAAAAGTTAATCAACTAGTATTCAAATTTCTTCAACTTTTAACTATCCATCGAAACGCAGATTGCCTGTTGAAAATAATAGAAATAATTTGAAATTAGTGCAGAACTTTCCTCTCTAGTGCAATTTTTCCTATAAATAAGTTTTTCTTGTTTCAGGAATAATACAATACAAAACTCAGTCCTGGCTAATATATGTTTTAATGTTTTTGATTATTTTACAAACAAACCTTCAACCAAGATTCATACATTCTTACTAGGAAATACATCACATATTTAATTTAACCCTTAACTATTGTTATATATTTTCTGTGTAAATAAACAAAACATTTTCAACTACAAAGTAAAAAATGATTACAATTCTAAACGATTGGACCAACAAAAACCTACCATTGAAACGCAAGAAAGTTAACAAAGCTTTGTGGAAAATCTGAATGTGTATTTCTCGTTTTATATATATAATTTACATAATTGTCGACTCAGTAATAAATTATCGATTGCATTACAGAAAGTATAAATTAGGCTAATCAACGCTAGTATTTTTATGAAATTTGAACAAACTCTCAACAAAATTAAGTTATCGATTTTTTTTAAAATAATGATACGTTCAGACGGATATTACTATAAAATAATTTGTAGCATATGCTACTGTACAAAAAGAGATGAACAAAAATCACCTTCAACCTGAAAAAAAAAGAAATATCTTTTGAAAACAGTGGTACATAAATTGACATATGGAAAATACATTGGTTCTGTACTTTGGTAGTTATCCATGAATGTATGGATAAATCTGTTTTGTCTGGAGTTCGTTAAATCAAAATTGTAACAGATTGTGAGGTTTTTTTTCACAGGTAACATCAACCAGATCAGATATTTTTTGCAATGGATAGTGCAAATTTGATCAATTATTAATGCAAAACAGTTAACTTCAGTTCTGGAGTCTTTTATATAATTTTCTTGTTGAATGTTTTCAAAATGAATTTGTAGGTGAATCAGCTAACCCACGAACAATTATTAGAGAATTTCAAGAAAGGTTCAAACTTAGGATATGAACAAACTCCAAGTAGTTTTCTAGCGTAGAGACTGAGATGTTTACTCATAAATAGAAATAGAAAAAATAAATATAATTGTGTTCAAACTAGCAAATATGTGATAAAATTGGCCGATACTTCATAATGAACACCTATACGTACTCAAGTAACACTTCATTGTGGGATTTTCACTGGACAGTTTACAAAAACGCAATATGTATTTCACTATACAATAGCGGCCTCAGGCGTGTTCATACTGACTGAATTCTACCTAATTAGTGCTTTATATAATATAACAACTTGATTCATATGACCTCCCTACTCAATTATCAAAAATTTTACCTGAGTTTATCTATAAACTAATTTAAAATATAAACATTATGAAAGAAATTTTAGAAACTCCTTAAATGGATATGTAACTAATCACCAATTTCTATATAAGTAAATAGATTCAACAGAGGTATTTAATTCAATTATTTTTGGTCATTCATTAAATTTCTTACATCTATTAATTTCCAAGCATCCTTTGGAATGATTTATGATCATATAATTTTAAAACTGTTTTTCAGTTCACAAAATATGGTTTGCAACTTGTCATCAAAATTAAAGATACTGTCCTTTTTAGTCAAGTCTGTTACTGGTTTGGCAATAATGGCATACTTATCAATAGACCTTTGAAAAAATCCAGAAAGACCGAGAAATCTGAGAATTTCTTGTATATCAGTTGTTTCTGGTTAATATTTAATTGCACTCAATTTATTAGTTTAAGCCTTGTTCATATTTTTTAATACTTAGTGTCAAATTCTCCAGGGATTGAGTCTAGCACTTTCAATATCATCAAACCATTTTGCAGCTTTGGGAATATCCTTATCCCTATCAAAGTATCCAATCACTAAATTGATGGATGTAGCAGTTACTACGTGGCCCGGAGATCATCATGAAAAATGAGAAAACGTTCTATTATTTTTTACCACTTTTATCAGAAGTTTCCATGCCTCTGAATTTACATTGGACTCACCATTTGCATTTTTCTTATTGCAATCAGATTAATAACAACATATTATGGGATAGTAGCAGCGGCCAACAGCTTCCTTTGAACTTCAGAGTTGTGAAAATAATGTGTAAATACTTGTTAGTAGTACTTAGGTCTATATTTTTCAGAACAAAACTATCCCCTACGTGAATTACTGTGGTCATTACTCTTATAACCTCAAAACCCAGAAAATCATGACTCGAATTGAGTAACTTGTCATCTGTCACTACTGCACTATCTTTGAGAGTTATTTTTCTATTTTCTTAAAAATTATGGGGTAAAAGTTTACAATCTCAGTTCTTTCTTGATGGTTCTCAGTCAAATTTAAGTAATCGCTCAGACCAGTTTGGAAGAAACTAATTTTACTCTACTGACATAAAGGGTTCTCTATTTTTTTAATTCTTTGTCAAAATAACCAAAAGACCTACTCATTACTACTAAACCTCACAATCATTTTCGACAGCCAACAACCTCTGCATTACATTCAACATAAATATTACAGTGTTCTCATATGACCAAGATAGTATAAAACATTGCTCATTTTGAAGTCTTTGAGTCTGGAAATTTCAATTTCATGACAATATAGAAAAAACTGAGGGAAAATTATATAACAGTAACAATGCCCAATTGTTCATAAATTATTCAAATGATTCTGTATTGATGAGAATACGTTCCTCAAAATTGTGTGAATGACTTGCAACATCCTGATATTTTTTTCACATCAACAATAATACTTGCAACTCTAATATGAACCGTAATATTTTACTCCGTAACATAATCAATAGTTTTTTCAAGTCGTTTCCTAAAGCGAGTTCACAAAACACCATACATAATCGTTTTGAATTTTTCATTGATTATTTGAATTATTTTCTGCAAGTTATAAGAAGCGGAATAGTTGTATGCATTATCTGTAAATTGTTGAATTTTATACATAGGGATGATAATTATACAGTCGATGGATTGAATATGACTCACAAACATTTCATCAATTACATTTCTATATGGCAAAAGTAGATGCAGAATTTTGAAAATGCTCACAGCTTTTGAGTTTGATGAAAATATAAAGACTGTACAAAGGTATTTGGAACTAACTTTATAATAAAATAATACTTTTTTTAACAATAAACTAGAGTTACACACCATAATACCTTTCAAAATTTTCAGCAGCATCCTGATTTGGTAGTTTCCACTGGGCGACTTTGATCGAACCTAACTTTATTACCCTGATCGGCTGCTGAAGATGGTGGCCCCAATCTATTTTTTATTTCTGCCGCCATTGTCATGAAAGCCTGCTCTACATTAACGGCATTCTTAGCTGAAGTTTCTAGAAAGGGTATACCTAACTGGTCGGCATACTCCTAAAAATTTAAAACACACTTTATTTTTCTCGTTACGTCTTAGATCAGATACTAAAAAATATGAAAAACCACTTCTTAACTTATACCTTAGCTGTAGTAAAATCGACGACTTTCTTGGTACTCAAATCACTTTTATTTCCTACGAGTAATTTGTTGACATTGTCACAGGCATAACGGTCAATTTCTTCTAACCACTGTTTTACATTGTTGAATGAGTCTTGGTCAGTACAATCATAAACAACGATAATTCCATGAGCTCCCCTATAATAACTAGATGTAATAGTTCTAAACCTTTCCTGGCCCGCAGTGTCCCACTACAAAAAACATAACTTCAGAAAAGTTTTCATGAAAGAAGTGTAATCTACAGAACATGAATAATAAAAAATGGCACTTACAATTTGCAATTTTATTGTTTTCCCATCCAAGTCAATAGTTCGGATTTTCTATAAAATAAATAAATAAATAAGCACAAAAAAATGAGATAATCTCTTGTATTTCATTCTTTAACAGTGAACAATAACAATATTGAGTTCACTTCTTCTTCCTCAAAAAGAGTAGAAAGTGTTTCTCTTAGGAAAATGGAAAACGTCAATTAGTTGCTGGCAAGGAAGCTCAAAACCAATCATTAAGAAAGAACCCATATCCCTGATGGATGTCTGTTGTAGAATCAAGTTTTTAAATAAATCACATGGGAAACTGATTTCTATTTTCCAAAGAAGTTCATTGTATATGGGCAATTACATTCAATTAAAACCGAAACACATATGACACACAAATAAAGACAGACTAGGGGCAAAATAGGTCGATAAAGTAACGATAACGAAATAATGTGGCTACTGCTCTGAGCAACCGAAATTTTTAATGAAGAATTGCTCTTATTTATAAAGTTCACTAAAAAGGACTTATTTCAGAAAATTCGTTAGCATATTATTATTCTGTATAATACAATGTACTTAACATTCAATATGTGTATCAGTGTTTTATGTTTGTCCGAACATTGGCAATCTGAATCCAACTTGAAAAGTATTAATATAGCGGAATACTATTTAGCTTTCTATTACTGCAGAAGTATAAACCAACATGGAGGCGTTTGCATTTTCTCAAAGTCAAATATTAGATGTCGACCTATAGAAACGAAAGCCTATAATCAAGAATTTGTATCAGAATTCAGTGTCTTAGAATTACCCAGTTTGAATGTCATAATTATTACTTCATATCGATCAACTAAAAATTTCAAAATAGTTCTAACTGGTGACTTCAATATTAATTTTAAATCAAAATCTTCTGAATTATTACTGTTTTTATCCCTCTTGAAATCTTTCGATTTAGATGTTACTATTCAAGAACATACAAGAGTTACCTGCCAATCTGCAACTTGTATCGATAACATAATTACAGATATTGACGGAAATCGTACCGTAGGAATATATGATCCTTATCTGTCAGACCACAATGGACAATACATAAGCGTCCCTTTAAACTGATCGCAAACAACAGTGGATTACAGAAGACAGATGACGAAAAAATCAATAGCAATGTTCAGTGACCTGATAAGAAAAGCAAATTGGCATTTATTTTTTGAATATTTGGGTAACGATGTAAATAAACCTGCCGATTGGTTGGTTAGTACTTACAATAACCTTGCAAAGAATTGTTTTCCCCTAAAAAGATGTCCCCCAAATAAGGCGCCAGTAAAATAGTTCAATGAAGATTTAAATATTGGTTATTTTACAAAAAACTGAAAACCGACTACAGAAATTCGATTACAAATACAAAAAGGGTCGCCTATGAGAACTTTTTCACTAGATCTACCAATCTAGTTAAAGATAGCTGGAGAATTATAAATTTTGAATACAGTAAAAATTGCAATAAAAATGATTATTCAGATCATAATCCCGACGACTTCCTTGATTATTTCAGAACAGTTGCAGAAAACATTATCAAAAGTTTACAGAACTCCCATTTATCTCCTACTGATCTCTTAAGAAAATTACCATCACATAAACATAGTTTCATTTTATCCCCAACCACACCAACTGAAGTATTCTCAGCTATCAAACAACTGAAAAATTCTAGTTCAGTAGATGCCTTTGAATTAAATGCATTGCTCGTTAAGGAGACATCGGTACTACTGCTTGAACCCTTAACAATCGGTGCTTCACCTCAGGAGTTTTTCCTGACATATTTAAAATAACTAGAGTCTTACCGATATTCAAAAAAGATGATCCTAATATTTTAAGCAACTTTCGCCCAATTTCAATCATAAATATTTTTTCAAAAATAGTGAAGGTATTGTTGAAAGATAGGCTGAGAGATTATTTCGAAAAAAATAAGTTTATATCAAACACCCAATATGGTTTCCGAAAGAACAAATCAAAAAATAAGGGCTCTACTGAAGATTATTGGAAATATTGTCGAAGGTCTTGAGATCAGGCAACATGCAATTATCACCATATGCGATTTGACCAAGGCGTTCGACTGCGTCTCACATGACCTTCTGTTCTATTATTATCCTATTTAAATAACAGATAACAGCTAGTAAAAATAGGTACAAAGATTTCTGATCTTCGAACCACCAAATATGGAGTTCCCCAAGGGTCGGTACTTGGACCTTCATTGTTTATCATATATATAAACGACATCTGTCTACATACTAATAATAATACTTCTACTATTCTTTTTGCTGAAGATACTTCTTTTATCAACACCTCTACAAGTCTATCTACACTTTTACAAATGGCAGATGAATCCATTCACAATGCAAAAAATTGGTTTTCCGCCAACTTCATGTAATTAAATGATCAGAAGACACAAAAATTAATCATTTTAACAAACAACAACTATACAACAGGTGCACATTGTAAACTTCTTGATATTACAATCGATGACTCTCTTAATTGGTACATGCATACAAGAAATTTAAACAAAGTTCTATCCAGTATCTTGTTTCTTCTAAGAAGGCTACGATGTACTGTCAATCCAGAAATTTTAAGAAATACATATTTTAGTTTATTTCACTCCCGAATTTGTTATGGTACAATATTATGGGGTAATTCCTGCCATGCCGCAAAAAATTTTAGGTCTCTCTGATAACCGGAGTAGGTCCTGCCTGAGTAGCACTGCCGTGACTTGAATTTCACTAGTTCGGACTTCCATTGTCTATTATACAAAATGATTTGAAATCCCTGAAACAAGTAAAAAAGAATAATTAAAAAAGAATAGTTGAAAATAACAATTATAATCAGCAACAATAAACCTGAAATGAAATGATAGTGAAATAACCTACAAGTAAAAATATAATAATTGAATAAATAAAAATTAAAGGAATGCAAAAAGAAAATAATAAAAAATAAAAAAGTGTAGAGATTCCAAGTCACGTTAGTTCACGACAATGTACTTTTAGATCACTGTTTATATAGTATTAATGAATTTTCAAATAGTTAGTAATCTATTGATAAATATATTGAACAATAATCCTTCATTGATATATTCATATTTGTGAAGTATGTTACTTTACAACATATTTTTAATGTGTACGTTATACGTACATTATACGTACGTTATATTGTGCTGTCCTTTTAAAACTAAATGTAACGAAAAGTTTTTCATTGATTTATATATACCACGTCTCTCTATGATCATTTTTGATATATGACATGCTGTAAACTTATTGTAAAACAGTCAAATAAATCTATCTATCTATATATCTATATCATTCCATACTCGATACGGCTTTGTTTTCACTATTCACACAAAACCTTTCGCTCTTCGGTAAATCACCACTGTGCAGCCACTTACCAACAAATACAGTCCACTTATCAGGAGATTTGAAGATCGACACCTAAATAAAACCTGTCATAATAGAAGTGGAAATTAAGGTTAGTGACGTTGATCCCATGTTCAATTGCCGATGATATGAAATTTTGATATTTGAAATGTTTCCCCAACAGTAGATACTAACTAACCTGATTTCTACATATCACATCAATTTCAATCACTATTACGTGTTGCGGTTTTGTAAACTGTCAAGTGAAAATGACAATGAAAGTTTGTAATGTTTGACTAAATGAACTAAGGATATTTATTATCAAATTATGGAAATAACTTACGTTTTCAATTCAAGCAATAACATAAAATGGGGGTTCGGATGAAAATGTCGTACCAGAAATATCACAGAATATGTACTATATTTCTCAGTTAATCATTTAGGCCAAGGATAACACTCGTTGAATCTATATTGAACTTTCGCTTTTAAAAAATTGCTAAATTGGAAAGGTTAACATGTTCACCATCAGGTTTGTTAACCTCTGGAGTAAAGTCAATAAAATTTTATCAAATCTCAAGGAGTATATGCATTAAAATCGAGATGACTAACAGAGAATAATTCACGACATGACTAACATTCATTGAATTATCACAACTACGATGGAGTTTGTGGTTTCTCCAATCTCGAGTGGATTTTGCTGTATTATATATTCGTACTTTTACGACACATGTAAATGTTAATTTGATAAGTCACAATAGGATGTCATTGACTTTCGAAATCATTGAAGTTATTTATTGAGCTTTCAATGATATATCAAGGGTTAGTAGATTTTGAAAAATTGGTATATTTTGATATATCTACTAATGATAAACTGAGAATAATCAACCCATGATATTTCATCAGTGTGAAGAGTGTGAAAATTATTATTATTATTGTTATCATGGTTAAAGGAAAACATACCAAATGTGGCATCCACAATAAGACAGTAGTAGAAAAGTTAGAAGATGAAAAGGTATCAGAAAGAACAATTTCTGACGTAATATAAAAAGGGTGGTCGCAGATTCAATTATCCTTGATAGAAGAATTAATAAATCAGAATAAATATTACTGGAGTTTTTTTCCAGCACCAAATCGTTATTTTTAACACCTCGACACGTGTTTCGATCACCAAGTGATCATCTTCAAAGAGGAAGATTTGGTGTTGGAAAAAAAATCCAGTAATATTCATTACTACACCAAAGATTCCAAACAGTGCATCATAAGAATCAGAATAGATAAAAAATAAGCCTTGGGGCACCAGTCGAATGGATTCAACAGGAAGGAGGTGGAGAAATGGCCGAAGAAAATCAATCCAAACTTGAAATTTATAAAAAACTCATAATCAAAACAAAATATTTCACAAACTTCGCCAACAGCTGGTGTATAATAACTACACTACCTAATTCAAGGAACAAATACTTGATACTAAAAACGAATGTTGCCAGTAAAATTATGAATATGTGGCTATCGTCTGGTTTAATTAATCGCCTGCCCGGTACTGACGATGTCTAAAAGGCTGTAACAGCTGTCTACCAGTGGCTCTTGAATTGGAATCGAATTGAAAATGATCAGAATAATACTCATCTATTTGTCTTTTGATTTTCATGGAATTATTTTCCAGCAACTCGACTGCATTAAGCTTTCTTGATTTTATATCATTTCTGGAAACATGTGAATTCGTTTTTCGATGGCATCCCAGAAAAGCTTCTCAAGTTTTTGCTAATGCAGTTGTCAGTTGAATGGTCAAACCATCAACGCTGATATAAAAACTTGTCAAGCTAACTTGGGTGTTACATCAATAGGTGGCTCCACTTATGTCTCGCTTACGTTTACGCAGTAATTTTTCTCTTGTACTGTTCTTGGTTTCAACCCGTTTATCTTTCTGACAAACATCAGTTGAAAGGGGAAGGGAGCCAGGCTTCAACCTGTAGGAACTCAAGATGGATTACATCAAACGCTCAAATCAGCCAAAAGGGTAGGGGAGCTGGTCTCCAAACCTGGACGAAATCACGATGACATTCTGTCAAACGCTCAACAATCAGTCGAAAGGGTAGGGGAGCTGGTCTCCAAACCTGAAAGAATTCAAAATGACATTCTGGTCACATTTTGTTACGCCGATGACATGGCTCTTCTCTCATCTTCCATGGGTCGGGGGCTCGGGATCGTCTACATGCAACGTGCATTGGACGACGTCGAGCGCTGGTACCTCTAATGCAGTGTTTCTCAAAGTGTGCGCCGCGGTGCCCTGGGGCGCCGTGGAACCTTTACTGGGGCGCCGTGAGCAACGGGTGAGTCTCAAGATACAACTTCCAGGCAGGGGTTTACCGTGAAGGGCGGTACTGATGTCTGAGGACATTCATGCCGCCATCCCGTGATCAGTTATGACCAATTTGTCCTTCTGATAAACACCAGTCGTAAGGATAAAGGAGCCATGCTCCAACCTGTTCGAAATTAAGATAACATTTGGTCACATTTTATATTCAATCGAGGACCGCCTACCCGGTACTGACGATCCCCAACAGGCTGAAACTTGGAGCATGTCATATGTGAAAAACAGAAAACAGTACTTGATAAAAATAACTGCGTGAACGCAAGCGAGACATAAGTAAAACCACTTACTGGTGTGACACCCAAGTCAACTTGCCAAGTTTTTATGTCAGTGTTGGTGGTTTGACCAATCTAAAACCGACAACTGCGGTACCAGAAATTTGAGAAGCTATATGTGTTTGTTTGTATTCTTGATAATAATGTACTTTTTTCACTCGACCTCTCAACTTTATTAGTTTAAAATGAGAAAATAATCGTCTGGATATTAGTGAAAATGTTTGATTTGGAAAAAATAATTGAAATACCTAACTACATCGATAACAAACATCATTTCAATCAACACACACCTTAAGGTGCATTTACTCTGTTACTTTACTTGACTACCGGGACTGCGAATAGCAATGAGGTTCCCCGGTAAACTCAGGAAATTATTAATTTAAACCTACCGAGAAAACGAGACTACTTGATAATGATAACTACTCGATGCCGTTTACTTCGAAAGGGAAATTAAAATAAATCTGTGATAGCAGAGAGGTGATTAAAAAAACTTGGGTTTGCAACACACCGTAAATGTTGTCATTATTCCGGCTTACTCTTCTTTTTGGAACAGACTGAGTTAAAACGTTGCATCCTTGATACCGTCTGGTACTAGACGAGATCTATGGCAGCTCGAAATAGTGTTTATGGGAAACGAGTCATGAATCCAACGCTTAAGGGCTCTAGTATCATCCAGTAACATCAACGTAGAATAGATGTTGCTCAAATTCATACAACTGTGAAATCTACCACAATCTCACAAAGTATAGTAATGCTATTTTTGTTACAGGGTCAAAATGGATTCGAGGATCTCAGACGATATGTAAAGCAAGGGGGAGATTTCTGTAAAGAGTTATCGACTATTCTTCAAGAAAGGTAAGACAGTATTATAGTCAACATTTTATTTAGAAAATTGTCCAATGCCATTTTGAACCTCCAGATGAATGTATTCTGTTGATATGAAGAAATACTAAAAGTTACTTGTACTGGGCCCGGTTTTTCAATACCAACTAACCTTCAAAGTGGGGAAAAGTAGAACTTGTATCTCTGGCGTATAGTAAATCCAAAGTAGTTACTACTCTCAAATATTAGAGCTGCAACTCTATTTTTGACATGCTAATTCTAAACCTGACTTATTCCAATGAGCGGAGCAGAATAATCAATAGAGATTTTCAGGGGTGGCATCCACGAAAATTTTCCTCTTTCATGAAAAAAATACTGTCGAAAAACTGTCAGCTGAATCCCTAGCCACCAATCCACTGTCAAGGTCTTAAGTTTAGGTAATCATGGAAAACCAACCCTTTTAGTTTTGAAGTAACAGTGTGGTTATTTATTCATATCAACTTTCAAAAGTTCCTCACTTCTAGCACATCTTTATGTGAACAGTATATATACAATCATCTTGGACATTCGTTGGAAAATTCAAATCGAAAGAAAGTAGAAAAGTTTTCAGTTGGTAGAAATCCGACACGAATATCTTGCAAATTCCAAAAGTCTCTGTCGTTCGAAAAAAATTCCCTCTCTTGCACAAAAAATAATGTTGAGAAACTGTCGGCTCAATCTTTAGCAGTCAATCGAAGTTTAGGATGCATTTGACAACCTATCCTAATAGTTTAAAAGTAACAACAAATATGATATCGATTGGATTGGATTCAACAGTGTTGGAGACACTTTCGATTCTTCCTCCTTGAGGGATTGCAGTGGTGGGTCCGTTGTGATTGGAGAATTCACCGAGGCATCATGGATTGGGCAAAACTGAAATTTTGGAATATGTGGAGGTGCGAACAATATATTGTCGTGCCCACAACACGTAGAGTACACAATCATAAGCCATCTCGAGAACATGCTCGGTAGGAATATCTAATATACAGAGGGTCAAAAACCGAACATGGAATGAAATCGGAATTTCATTGCATTTACCCGCTCAGGCAATACGCATCTGTGTTCAAAGTGGAGGTGCACTTGGGATACTGACGCTCCTAGAAGTGACATCCAGATTGATTTGGGAATGCTATATATGAAGAAGTGAAGAATGAAGAAAATGAGTGTCATTGCTTTTCGAGTTTGAAAGCCGTGGATTTTTGGAACTTCTTCCTGACGTTTCGCTGGCGCGAGTGGCTAGCTTCTTCAGATGTTTAACCATCATGGCTTGCTGTTCGATGACTACCTTTTAGGCTTCGTAAAGCGAAGCGAAACAATTTTTTCAGAAGGAAATGAATTGACTCTATATAAAATACCTGGACACTTGGGAAACACAGACAATTAAAGAGTAAATGAGTGTGCCAGGCAAGGATCATCAACTCCAAATATAAGGTTCCTGAGGTCCATTGATAGGACGTAGATATGAACAATCTAGGAAGGCCTTGCCTGCAGATAATGCAACAAATGAATAGACAGCTTGTCATTTTTGTGCGAATATGAACTAACGGTTCATAGGAAGCAAGCAATCGATGGAACAACTACAGTACGACCAAAAAAATTACAAACATTTAACAAGGGACCTGTATGAACTAACACGGCTAAATATCATTAAAAACAAAGAATTGAAACGCAATGAGTCCATGAGGTTGCAGTGTTTCTTGGAGACGTAGAAGAAATGTATAGCAATGGCAAAAAACACTACAAGTTCACTTATCTTAGGTGTTAGTTGGTGAGTCTACCCTGGATGAGATTCAATTTCTTCATTATCAGAAAGGCAGCTTCTGGTTTTTTCTTTGCCTACCACAACTATAGCAAATCGTATAAGATTTTCCATTCTTCAATTCTTCAGTTTTCACCATATTTTTCTGTCCCCAGAATGATGGCTCTTTCTGACAAGTATGCTCTCCTTAAATATATGAAACTAACTGATAATAAATACAGTGTGTAAAAGCCAAATGGAATAAATTCATTATTTCGGTTACGGTACATATTTTAACAAAATCCCGAAATACGTCAAATTCAAATTATAATTTGACATGCTTCAACAGAAAAATGCAACCCCTACTCACAACCCCCGTCGAATAACAGGTACAACCCCAATTTTTAAAGGAGAAGTATAGGCTTGTGATATATCGTTCAAAAGGTATCTTCATTCTCTATTCAAAAATTTTATCGCTTTCAAGTTTATTGCAACAATTAAGATAAAATAAATTAAAATCATGTGGTTACCGAAATTCGATAAAATACACTCAAAACTCATTTCATTTTGAGGTACTGATAATAAGAAAGTAAGCAAAACCCATAGCAATGTTTTTAGATGGTATCCTTTAAAAAACTGTAAATGATTTCCCTGGCAACCTTAGCTTAAAACGACTTGTCAACTTGTTTTGTATGTTACATTAGTTGTCAGTATTTTAATTTGATTTTAAAATTCGTTAACTTCAAGTCTGAAAAATGGTTAGACTAACGGAAATGCTTAAAACCCGACCAAAACAGGAAGTAGCCCGCCTATTTCATCAGAATTTTTTTAATTTACCGCCCATATCTCAAGAGACAATAAGTAAAATAGAGAAGCAGTTTCGCGAACTTGGGCATGTGGGGCAGATAAAGAAAGCAGCTGCCACTGCAATGAGTGATGAACTCAAATTACATGTGATGCTTGAGTTTGAGGAAAACCCACATACTTCAAGTATACAGGCATCCACTACATTCAATATCAGCCATACATCGATAGTAAACATAATAAAATAAAATAAAATGCATCCCTATAAGAGGAGCTCATGGAAGACGATTTTGATAGAAGAGCAAATGATGGACATGTTGGATAACAATATCATCCAATTAGAATACTTTGTTTTCTGATGAGTGTATTTTGTCTCTTAACAGTCATACTAATCGGCTAAATTGCCGCTACTGGTCAACAGAAAATCCTCACTGGATCAGAAAAGAACACACGCAAGACCTTCAAAAGGTTAGTGTTTGGATAGGGAATGAAGGAAATCATATCATTGGTCCATTTTTCATTGAGGGCAACTTGCATAGCGATAATTATTTGATTGTACTTCAAAATTTACCTCAAGTTCCAGTGAATATGATATGGTTTCAGCAGGATGGAGCACCACCACATTACCAAGGTAATGTCCGGCAGTACCTCGATACAACATTTCCCAATCGGTGGATGGGAAGGCGAGGATCGATTGAATGGCCAGCGCGATCCCCTTTCTATGAGGATATGTAAAGAGCAATGTGTACAAAACTAAACCCTCAGATTTGAATGACTTAAAAGAACGAATAACGCTTGCGATTAGATCAGTCACACCTGATATGTTGAATAATGTTAGAAGACAGTTTTATTTGAGATTAGCATGTTGCTAAGACGTTCGCGGTGAACATTTTGAACATTTACTCCGTTAACATCTATAGTTCTTTTTTGTATTCTACATTTCATTACGTTATGCATTAAATTTCAGTTTTTGAGTGTATTTTAGTGAATTTCGGTAACCGCATGACTTTAATTTATTTCATCTTAATTGTTGCAATAAACTTGAAAGTGATAACATACAAACCTATACTTACCATTTAAAAAAATTGGGGGTTGTACCTGTCATTCGAAGGAGGTTGAAGATAGGGGTGGAATTTTTACGTTGAAGAATGTCAAATTACAATTTACATTTGACGTGTTTCGGGATTTTTTTAAATATCTACAGTAACCGAAATAATGAATTTATTCCATTTGGTTTTTACACACTGTATAACTGGAGTTCTATCCCAACACTAAACCGGTATTTTCAACACCTCGACACGTGTTTCAATCATTTTCAAGAGAAAGTAAAATCTTTCTTTTGAAGAGTATTACTTGGTGATTGAAACACGTCAAGAGAAAGTTTGATCCCCCTCTTGAAGATGATCACTTGGTTATCGAAACACGTGTTGAACTTCAGTAATATTCATTACTACACCAAAGGTTCCAAACAGGGTATCAGAAGTAACTGATAATAAGTTAACAATATCATACATATATTGGCAGTTTAATAAACACCGAAGCTCCATCCAGCAACATTGAAAATTATTCAAACTATTCAAACCAAGTTTGAAAATAAGCATCATCATCAACATTTGCTGTTTCAACCCAACATATTTTGTATTCATTGTTTCAGAGCTGAAGCTGAAACTCAATATGCCAAAAACTTATCGAAACTCAGCGTCAAACTATCTAGAGCCTGTCGAGAGGGTGTTGGAGGCCTCAATGAAGCCTGGAAATCTGTCGCTTTGGAACTGGAAAGCAGAGCTGAAGGCCATCGACTTTTAGGGTTAGCCCTGTTAGAAGAAACTGCCAAGCCCTTGAGGACTCTTACCGAAAGCCAGCATAGGCAAGTAATTAGCTTTGAGTTATTTTTACTCTTCCAGTAAAAATGAACAATTAAAAAATCAACACCAACATCACATTAAATTCAACATTGATATGTCTTATAATCTTTATACCGTTATTCAGTGTAATGGATGTGTTGAAATAATAAAATTACTTTTCGTGTTCTGTCTGTATATATATTTTTAATGGCGACTAATAAAAAGTTGTAAACGTAATTTACTTCAGAGAGGTAATAGGTTAGGGGTCTGGTACATAAAATACCACTTTGATGGATACAATTATGGTAATTGAAAATACCGAGTAAAAGTTCTTCTTGAAGAAATCTTTTAATTTTTAGGAAACCTGGACCAAAATTTTTTCGCTCTCATTGAACCTGAGTGAACCTAGGACTATGAAGATTTAATAATTTCCATAATAGTTCAAAATTGAGTCTCTTGTCACTATAAATGTGTCACTATAGTGTCACTATAAACAACACTTTTTTCTTATCAGAGTTGATCACCTGAAGAATTAATAATTTGTCTCAGTGTGAAACTTTATTTCCGAAGATTTTACTGAAATTTTTCAAATACTATACTTTTTTGAAATACTTTCTAGTATAACTTTGAAACCGCTATGTATTCACCTATACAATGCCGGAGAAAAAACACATGAATGAAATATTTAGTCTCAAAAAGGTAGAAACCAATATCTCTGAACTCAAAGATACATAATTCTAGAGATCATTTGAAAATTTATGTTATCAATCTAGTAAATTCCCAACTGCAAAAAAACTTGTGCAGTCAAGCTATAAAGGATAGTACCTATTCAATTTCAAGACGGCTCGTAAGGGCCAACCTGTTATGAAATTTTTCAATTCCCAAAAATAATAAATGTGTAAATATGACATATAAAACCAATAACAACTTGAACAAGCATATTGAAAATAAAAAGGACAAGAGTTTGGCTCTCAGATAGTTCATTAGTTTATAAATTGTCCGATGTTTCACATAAGTCAAATTGAAAGAACTTTCAAAACACGAATAAAAGACCATTGAACAATCTCCAGAATGAAAAAACGAATTAAACTTGTATTAGTCTCCTCCTTACAGGTTTCACCTGATGGAACATACCTTCTCCCCTGATATAATTACTATGTATTAATCATAACTTTATTGAAATATTTTCACTGGTGAATTAATTATCTGATTGGACCACAGGTTTTAGCTAATCTCAGAGAAGACTATAGCAGTAAGTTTCATAACAGTTGTGGTATGTGGGAATGGTGTTTTTGTTGAAAGCAGTCTTTTTTTGAAAACGAGTTCGAGTAAATACAGTTTTAATTCAATTCAGTTACAGCTGGTTAGCGGAAAACAAATTTTCACCAGATTTTTTTAACGAAAGTTGTTGAACATAATTTATTTTACAGAGTTTGGGATGACAAATTGAAAATTAAATGTGACTTTAATGCATTTCATTGTTCATAGAGCTTATTGATCACTTCAGAACATTATAACATTGATTATTTTTTTCCTTCTTTGAAGGATCTGATTTGAGAAAGAAAGAAATGGTTCTCAGTGACGGCGTGTTCATTTTTAAATTTGTTGATATCGTCATGGTGATTGATAAACAGTAAACGAGAGTGATATCTCACTTTCTGTATATAATTGATGAAAGTAAAAGTAATCATCTTTCAGTTAATTAAACGCGTTTTGTAATGTACCACAAAACGAATGTTTCATGAAATATTATCATATATATTTTGGTGTTATAATCCATGACAATGTTTCAATACAACAAAAAATTTAACTTAATAATGATTAATTCTAGCTAAACATGTAGATTCTAAGAGAAAATACTTCAATATTCTAAAACCTCTTCACTTTGAGCTGATCAGTTTGAACAGAGTAGTGACAATTTTGAGTATTTTTTATTGAAATCCTGTTTACCAAATATCAAATATCAATTTTTATGATAACTGCTGTATAAAAAGCATTATAAAATGGTTTGAAGTACCATGTTAGGAATCACACATTAAAAGGTGAGACCTCGTTAGTCCTTAGCTCGCACAAGTTTCTCCACTTCTGAGAGTTGTCGTTCGTATGGGGGCGACAGCTGATTAACGGAAAAACAGATTTTAAACAGATTTTTCAAACCAGTTCAACTGAAGACGCCACTGTGTAGTAAAAAGTGTTTTGAATAAAATTCATAGTGTGAGCAGTTTCAATTTTTACGTGTTTCAAAATGGCACCTTCTCTTATTTTTCCCTTATTTTTATGAAGGATCAGAAAGCAATCTGAAGCAGTAGTTGACAAAGCAGCTAAAAATTTATCAGATTGGAGGACACATGAAGCAAAAGGAAAGAAAAATAGTCACACATGCGCAAGAGAAAACGAAAAATTGCAGGATGCTGCTGTTTTGGATACCACAAAGTAAGTATTAATTTTTCTAATCATTAACTGATCATTATATTGTAGGGTTAATTGTAGATAAGATAGGGATCGTGTCTCACAGTGAACAATCTAGAAGGTTCTAGAGAAGATATCACTTGATATTCACGTCACTTGTTTTTCAAATTGGTCAAATGTTCAGTTGAGTTAATTATGTAACTGGAGAGTTCTCAATAGTAATTGTATTTTCAAAAGACCTAACAGAGTTTCTGAATTCCATATTTAAAAGTGATGAAATGTAATGCAAAAAAATTCACTCTAGTTTCTTTGTTAACCAAATTGTTTCAATATATTACTTTTTTAATTAGGAAAAGAGAATCGAAACTTTCTATGTTTTTACCACTTTTATTTGTAACTAACGTTACTGCAGTTTCCTCCTATAAGGACATTTTCAAACCTATACGTTAAACTTCAATGTTTGATGTTCAAACGTTTTGAAACTCATACATAAAACTTTAATGTTTAACGTTTAAAGAAAGTTTCAATTCTCTTTTCTTCATTATGATTTCCTACCACGTAGTAACGGCTACATCCATCAATTTACTTTTTTAATAATAATGCTTTGTTGACTTTCGCTTCTTCTTCATATATGCTCAACTCAACGTTAGTATTTACGATTTACAAATTATAGATTCAAACACAAGATACGACTTGATAATTTTGCATCCTATATACCCTATACCGGGTGTCAACGAATCTATTAGACAAGTCATAACTTCTAGACTATTAGGTGTATCAAAACGAGATTTGGTACAGATAAATGGTATGTGGAGAGGAGAGTTTTCACATATTTTTCACTTTCCGGTCACTTCCGGTTTCAGCGGAAATGGCTCCGGTTCTGAATTTTTAAATGGAACACCCTGTATATTGTAACATTTTTGGATTTCTGAGACAATTCTGGATCAGAAACTGACATTTCCGGAAGTTTTTCAGCCTACTTGATTTTTTCAGAGTCACTTTTAAAATTGCATCTAGGTGGCCATGATCGGACGTAAACTAATCTATGGACCTCAGGTGATATCAGAAAATTGCAATAGCGGAGTTTTAGTGACTANAGGGTGTTCCATTTAAAAATTCAGAACCGGAGCCATTTCCGCTGAAACCGGAAGTGACCGGAAAGTGAAAAATATGTGAAAACATTCCTCTCCACATACCATTCAACTATACCAAATCTCATTTCAATTCTCCTAATAGTCTAGAAATTATGACTTGTCTAATAGATTCGTTGACACCCGGTATATAATATTTGTCATAACTGAGAATAGTTAGCACTAATACTTTGATACAAGAGGACAAAAATATCCAATTTATGAATACAAATGAAATGTATAATATAATGTATTATGTATAATATATTAAGATGGGCTTTGCAGTTGTTGGTTTGACTAACTTATGCTTAGTTGAGTGGTGATGGGTGGAAGAGAAACTAGAAAGGACGAATAATGACATCACTTCAAAGTTCGACCGTATTCACACAGTGAAATATTTGTCTTGTTAAAAAAAGTATCAAAGAAATTCTGGTAAATATTGTTGCAACAAGAAATAGGCGGCTACCTTAAATTATAAATCCACGTAAATTCCATGAATATTGTTCAATTTGTGAAAATTTGTATTTGATTATGGCTTTTTTGAATATCATACGAGAGTAATTGAAACTTTCCAAAAACATTATGAGAATTTTGATGAAAGAAAATGGTTTGGTGTTTAGGCATAATTTCAAATTCCCAACAACCCTTCCAAATAACAATTTTGTTGTGTATTCAAAAATAGATGTACTTTTTCCATGAAAAATATTAAATTTTCTATCGTAGCCGTTCAACGAATTCTAATAATCCATTTGTTACAAACATAATTGACCTCGCTGTATAAACATTAAATCTCCCAGATTTTTTTTCAGCCTATAACTGCAAATGAATGATAAATATTTAAGACTGTTTTCACATTGATCATGATCATAATGAGCGTATATAAATTCACTGAACTCTATACGATAAATTATGAACTGTATATCACCTGCAATCCACATAATTGTGATTATTACTTCACTTCATTGATGACTCTATTTCCGTTTTCATTTGTAATTGTTAGAATGAGTAATGAAATTGTTATGCTCCTAATCTCTTTCACGTTGTTAAATGTATTTTTTTCAGATTATCTAAAAGTACTAGTCTGATTCACTTGGCTCACATCAATAGGCAGAATTCCACAGATAAGGAAAATGCCAAGGTAAGTGGATTTTCCAAATTATTACTCATTCATTTCCAATCACTTCCTATGAAATAATTAACGGTACTTTCACAAATATAAAATGTGGATGACAATTTTACACCGAAGGTGCACATGTCATCCAGATTTCCAGAAGCATCACAGCTTCTGCTAACGAAATGGGGAGAACTTTGCAGTACCCCAATTACTGTAAATGGAACTTTCATTTTGTGCATTTAGAAACTTGAGTTTCTAACTACTTGACCATACCACACAGATCCCTACGACTGTTAGGAGTATATATCTTATAGACCAGAGCTTCGGAAAGGATACACCGAAATATGTCCCGTGGGGTCCAATAAAATCATTGGACAATTTTATAAGATCCTAAATCTCAGTAGACTGGCTTTTATTATTTTCTTTCAAGTAATTCCTGCCAGTGGAAGATCGTAGAAAAAATGTAGAATTTATTATTTTCAAAATCCATATTCAAACATATCGATTGTTTTATGTTTGAAACCAAAAAGGACACAAGTCCCATTTTTTATTTTTTGCTTAACTGTGTGTCCTTTATAGAATATAATATAATGTATATTGCAACGAATTGTTCAACTTATGTACCTACTACTATATTTGGAATTTGCAAAACAAATTGTGAATTTAAACATTTCCATCTACATTGTGACCCTTGGTCACAATGTATATAGTCACAATAAGATTCATGAGAAGTTTTGACTAGACTAGTTGTTATAAACTTGCTTTCAAAATTAATTAGAGTGAATATGGTTCAGAATGCCGAATTTTCACTACATATTTCTTTATTTTTCATAGCTTCCCAACACTTATCTTGGAAATAATTTTATGGCGGGCTCGACGTCCAGATTTGCCTTCCATCAGTTTTTTTTTTCTGAAATAAACAGACTCGTATTTCATGGGGACCAATCATTATAATGTTCTAAAATCCATGTCAGGAAAGTATTTTGAAAGTATATGTAAATGTACATAAACTGAATTCGTTGTCTTAGAAACTTAGTTCTAACTATGTGATTGTACATACCTCTGTATTTTTTAATACTCTAGGAAGCTCAAATTAGAGCTTTTTTGGGATATTACTCACATATATGAAGCTTCGTAGCATACACTGAGGCTGCTAGATACTGTCCAGAAAAGAATGACCCACCCAATTCAGGTTCCAAAAATCTCAACAAACTTGTTAACTTGGAACATTGGTGTCTTGTCTCGTTTCTATGGATACCTTCATGGGGAGTTTTCTAATAGTTTAGCCCGCTTGATTCCACCAAAAGCGGTATATGTTATAAGTATGCAGTGAAATATAACCAACCTGCGCTTCAATATTCAACTCATTAGGAAAGAATTTCTAGCGATGATGGCGCTACACATTCGGTGATGTGAAAAATAGGTTATGTTTATTGTGTTAGGGTTTAATGTATTTTGAATTATTCAATGGAGGATTTGTGAGAGTAAGAGATTTCAAGATTTCAAGATTTATTTATAGGTCATCATTTTTTAAGTTTTAATGTTTATGGAAGAACTAGTAACGAATCTTGTTTGTTTTTCTTTGTTTGTTGATTGAAGTGTGAGTTTGTTTGTGTACACCCAAGTTAAACATTGTTTTCAGTAACTGATTTTCCCTATACAGACATTCGGTAGAGTATATTTTAGGTTTCTTGAATAATATTTTCAAGATTGTAATTTGAGATATTTGGAGGGTATTGAGAGAATTGTTAAATGTACCACCCCAGGCAGCAATACAATATCTTATTACAGATTCTGCTAAAGACTGGTATATGGTGATCAAATTTTTGTATTCCAAAATGTTTCTCAATTCATAGAATTTTTTTGTTAAAAGTCTGAGACGTTTTACAACATAGTTTATGTGGTCATCCCACCTCATATGCCGATCCACTATAACTCCCAGATACTTAATCATTTTCGTTCTTTCTATAACAGCACAATTGCAATTTGTTGTATTAGTACAGTCTGTATCATGTATATGGATTATGTTATTTCCAGGTTGATCGTTCTGTAATAGGGTGAATGTAATAAATAAAAATTTGTTCACATTCAGACTCAGAAGGTTGTGATCAAGCCATATCTGGATATCTTTCAGTCCCTTTTCTGATTTTTGAAATGCCTCCTTCCAATTACTACCTGTGAATATGAGTTTTGTATTGTCCGCATATGATATGAGATGACCACCAAAATTGTTGATGGAACATATACTATTAATGTGAACAAGAAATAGTATGGGACCTAAAACTGTTCCCTGTGGTACTCCTGTTTTAACTTTCATTGCTTCACTCAGGCTATTATCAACTTTGACCTTTTGTGTCCTATGTGATAGATAGTCTTCCAAAATATTGTATGTTGGGCCACGTATACCGTTACCATGTAATTTTTTTAATAGCATGTCGTGATCAACGGTGTCGAATGCCTTAGCTACGTCTAGAAATATATCCAAACATTTTTCTGCTTTTTCGATATTGGAGTTGCTAATGAAACCAAACTGTCTGTCTGTTAGTATTTTTTTTGCATTGAGATAATTTACAAGTCTACTGTAATATCTTTTATTTGATTGTAAACGTGACAAAAAATTGGTGGAGTGAATTACTTTCGCCAACAGGAAGCTGACAGAACTTTGCTTCTGGTTTACCGTCTGGCTCAGTTATAATATTTCCTATAGACGCCGTATCTGTACAGTGCCTGTGCATCTCCATGAAAATTGAAAGAATTTATAGTCGAGCAATATCTATCCCAATAGAAGAGTTGATTTACCTGATTTCTTAGATAATTGCACATTTGCACATTCAGTTCAAAATTTCAAAATAGATTTTTATATTTTCATAACAGTATCTCCAATAATACGAAACAAGTCAACCGTAATGTAAAATTAATACATACGTTATGGAAATTTGTCGATGTTTGCAAAAAACATGTTTCGTATCTAACGCGTATGTCATGGATCATCCGTATTTGAGTATCATGTGACAATGCACCGATTTACTAACTAAAATGTCACTTGAATAAATTGAAAACGAAACCAGTTCTGATACTGGTCCTTGTGGGCCACCAATATCTGTATAAGAATTGGTGTTTGTTTCTATTTACATTAATTATAGATACCTATATGCTATCATCACATCGGCCATATTAAAACATAAAATATGCATTTCGAGCATGACTTCTTTATAAGAACTTTGTATGCTGCTGAGATAGCATAATTTTCAATAGGAAATTTGATGTACGCTGTCCATTAAAAAAAAAATAAGGTGAATTTTCATTTTTCTCAAGAAATATTCATTTAATCATCAATTTCTATTTTGTACTCTTCAACGTAGTCCCACTCAGATATAATACAATTGTGCCTGCGTTTTCCCAATCCTCGAAGCAATCCTAATTTGCACTTTTTGATATATCTTTCAGCTCTCTGTGGGATTCGGTTTTTTTTCTTCCCAATCATCGCAAAACGCCGTCTATTCATGAACCTTTTATTCATGAATAGAAAAAAGTCGCAAAGAAACAAATGTGGTGAATACTGTGGCTGAAGCATGATTATGGTGTAATTCCTCACTAAAACTTACGAATAAGCAATAACGAGTGAGCAGATACATTATCGTGATGCAAAAGCCATGAATTGTTTTTCCACAATACCGGACTTTTTCTTCGTATTGCTTCTTATTGCTTCTCGCAAGCGGCACATAACTTCAAGAAAATACTCCTTATTGACCATGTGGCAAGAACTCTCCTGATGCACTTCGCCTCAGTAATCGAAGAAAACAGTCAACGGAACCTTGACATTTGACCGAACTTGGCTGGCTCGTTTTGGTCTTGGCTCTCCTGTGCTCACGTGCAAAACACTTCTAACTTTTATCTCTCTCACACTCTCACCAACAAACTGAACATGCTAAACAACTAAAACTGTAAACATATATTCGAGATGAGTATGCCAACATGAAAAAATAAAAAAGTCTCTAATCGAGTGTACGTAGCCCGCGAAATTTAAACACTCACCTCATTTTTCGAACAGTCCACCATTCATCAAAACTGTTTATTTCCCGAAAAAAAAGTGAAGGGCAGTACTATTTTTACACAACCCCAATTGTGTTTCAAGTTATTCAATTATAAACATTGAGTATTTGAACGCAACTGAATTCAGGTTTTTTTTTATTTTGAGTGAATGTTTACGATTTCTTTTCTTACGGTTACGTGTATTTTAGGTGGTATCCTTTGAATTTATATTTCTGTTTTTATTAACATGTTTCACAGGATATCCAAACCTTAATCACGTGATAAATGGACGGCCCTCTAAGTTGAAAAACGCAAAAAATTTTAATTTGAAAAAAGGAACATCATGAAATGTATACAGAACAAAATTGTCTGTTGATTAGTGTATTCCACGACACAGTAGAATAAATATTTATTGAAATATGGAGCTANCTTAGACCTGTCTCCCTTTCGCCGGATTTTATGGTCAAATCCTCCTGAGGGTTGATCATTGCTTTCTATTGATTTCTTTCAATTATAAATTTTCATTTCTAATTGAAATAAATGAATAATTTGTTGTTTTTCTCACTTACATTCATGGTTGCGTCCAGATCTGGGAAAATACGCAACACAAGCTTTGCTTAGGCGTTTCCCAAGAACTTAACACCACAACGAATTTATTGTTATTTATTTTATGTTTTTTAATTTACTGGAATCATTAGTAAAGATATGCTAATATCTATGATAGACATGAATATGCATCTGAATTGCATAAATTGATTGTTTGATTGATTGATATTATGAAATTCATTGATTCAATCAAAACATGTACTGACTCTGTAACCATAATTTATTTCAATTTGAGAATCTATGTGATCTTAGTCTGAAAAAAATATATCTGTAATACACTTTCCACATTTTCAAATATATTCGAGACTGAATTTTGAAAACTATCAATGCACCTTGATCTGCATCACTTGGCTGGAAGCCAGTTGCTTTGTGTTGCCTTTCATTCATACATCGATACATGATTCAGCTCTCAGGCCAATAATAATCCTTTGATGAATTTCTACATCAGTGTAAAATATCATATGAATATTTGATACATAATTACAGGCTACGGAGAGATTAAAAGGTCCAGTTACCCAGGCAGAACCAACCAAAGATTTATGTACGTTCCAAAATTTGAGACATAGTTCTCAACAAGTTGCAGAGCAGTTATTGCCTGACTTCTACTGCGAACATGTTACTTTAGCCATGAACAGAGAACGAAGAAAGCAGGTAAGTAGATTTATATGATGTTTAAACGTGGCATAAATTGTTATTATTATTTATTTCATTCTGTCCAGTAAAGCGACACACCCTTTACTTATTTGAGGTACCTGATACCGTATTGTGTTGCCTAGCAACACTTTTTTTTGAAAGCCATGACGATTTAGTTTCGACCTTTGACCAATCCTCATTCAAAAATGTGTTGTACATTTTTTGCCATATCGGCGGAAAGTAATATCATGATAATAACCATATACAAGTATGACTAAAAGTAACTGCCATAATGAAAGTCCTAGCCAACTAAAAATACTTAATGCAGGCCCTCGTTTTTAATATTTATTGGGAGAAAACATCCACGGCTATTATACATGTCAGTAAATTTCTTTGAAAGGATCAAATCAAAAAATTGCAATTTAGGATAATGAAATTAATGCCTGAATACTTCATTTTGAAGTGAAATTGACAGATGAAACTTTCAAGATGGCGACCCGATAAGGTTTGTTAAGTTATGTTTTGTTTATAAAAACGTCAAAAAATGTCCATACGACAATGAACATCATTGTTCAGTTAGAATATTCTCATTTAGTTTTCGGTTTCTCTAGTAGAAAGGTACCACGTCAATAATCTCTAAAATGGTCAATTCTCCTCCATTGGAAGAAAAAAATTGAAGCGATTTTTATTTACAGTACGACGGGAGATGGTAGTAAATCCTGAACAGTCTACTTATTCCGTCGCTAATGTTTGTGAGGTGTCTCCTTCTCAACTGTGTGGAGACTTTTGAAGAGGAATAGGTATCATCCATACAAAATTAAAATGGTACACCAATTAACTGAAGGTGACCCTGATCGAAGAATAGAATTCTGGGAAATCATGACGGAAACCATTGGAAGGCATCCTACTTATCTCCACAATATTGGTTTAAGTAATAAATGTACATTTTTTTAAACGGCAATATTCACAGACAAAATTGCCGTTATTGGAGTGACACCAGCTCTCAAGTTTTCCGGGAAACACATACCCAATATCCAGAAAAAATTAACGTTTGGGCAGGAATATTGGAAAACCATATCGTAGTATCTCTATTTCTATCTCTATTTATTGACCCTGTCATCACTGAAATCGTCGAAGTGAATCCTAATGAATTCCATATGGATATTGTATTCCAGCAAGATGAAGCACCACCACATTATTCCAGACAAGTAAGAAACTATTTGGATAGTACTGTTCCCGGTCGTTGAATTGGCCGTCGAGGTCCTACACAATGGCCAGCCCGCTCATCAGATTTGACACCTTTGGACTTTTTTATGGAGCTATTGAATCAAAAGGTATACGAATAAGAAATATTTGTAGAGATATTGACGTTACTGTGTTCGAAACTGTTCGGCGTGAAATATCGGATAGGCTGTTCATATGTCAAGAAGTTCAAGGCAACCATTTCGAGCATCTTCTGAACTGACCTCAAGCTCATTACCTTATATTATGTAGTTAATTATCAATGTATTCAGGCACTTATAAAAAGTTCCGTCATTTTGTAGTAGTTGAAGATATTGACATTATATTCTAGGGTTGTGAAGCATTTGTCAGGAGCTTCAAAAACATGTGTCACTAGACCCCCCTTTCCATTTAATTTTTTTTAAGATGGCGCCCAGTCGCCATCTTGAAAGTTTCTTCTATCAATTTCACTTCAAAATAAAGTGTTCATGCATTAATTTCATTATCTCAAATTTAAATTTTTTGAGTTGACCCGTTCGAAAAATAAAAGGGGGGAGGGTCATCAAAGAAATGCACTGTATATACTCAACTATTCTTCAACCAACTCCATGCATTTTATGCAGTTTTCAAATAGACGCCAAATTACGCTTAGTATACTATTTAGGTTAACTGAGTCCGTTAGGTATATAGGGTTGTTTCAAAAGTTTTGCCTGTCTTTAAACTGTAATATCTGAATGAATAACCATGCGCCAAAAAGTCCCGTGCCTAAGAAAGAAGACGCATTTTTTTTGTTCTTAATTGGCTTTACTCATCAACGTAAATCTCAATCAAAAGCCACACAATCAGTCCAGCGCCACTCTTAACATTTCGATACCACTTTTGTAGAACGAAAAAAGTCGCTAGAGGCCAGACCTAGAAAATACGGTGGATGCGGAAGCAATTCAAAGCCTAATTTATGTAATTTTGCCATTGTTTTGATTGACTTGTCACACGGTGCGCTGTCCTGATGAAACATAATTTTTTTTCTTTGCCATATGCGGTCGTTTCTTTGCAATTTAGGCCTTCAAACGCTCCAATAACGCTATCTATAACGCTATATCTCTTCTCAAGATAGTCGATGTATATTACAGAACGCACATCCCAAAATACCAAGGTCATAACCTTTCCAGTCGATTGTTGTGCTTTCGTTCCCTTTGGACGAGATTCACCAGTTGCTTTCCACTCAGATGACGATCGTTTTAATTCCGAAGTGATGGATCCATGTTTCACACATTGTCACAAATCGACGCAAAAATTCCGGTTAGTTTTGTTCAAACATGACCAAACACATCTCAGAATCATCAAGAGAATCTTGTTTTTAGTCAACAGTGAGCTCGCGCGGCACCCACTTTGAACAGAGCTTTCTCACAGTCAAATGCTCATGCAATATGAAGCCAACACGTTCATTTGATATGTTCACAATGTCGGCTAGCTCACGCAACTTCACTTTTCGATGATTCAAAACGATTTTGTGAACTTTTTTATGTTTTCTGGTGTTGCTGCCTCATTTGAATGTCCACTACGTTCAGCATCATAGGTGTCTCTACGACCACCATAAAGTCAGCAAACCAACGTTCAATTAATATTTCTTTTCAAGCCATTGCTTCGCTTGAACGGTATTTTTTTCACCAAGAAACAGTGTCAAATTAAAACACGAAATTGTTTTTGATCCATTGTTTTGAAAGTAACAAAAGTAGTGTCACTCTTAGCACAATAACTAACAAACTTAGAGTAGAATATCGTAAAATTTCAATAGCTTTCTCTTGAAGGTTACTATCAACTCAAATGATGATGAATGCAATGAGACCAGAGACATCTATGTGTTAGGCCCGATACTTTTCAGCCCAGGTAGTATTTATTCTGCTTGGAATTCGATAAAGTCAACCGTTTTTGCCTGGTCCTGATTGGCGAAGGTTCTGAAGATGAGAAAGTTATCGAAGTGCTTGAAAAGATGGTAGTCGGTTGGCGAGAGCTTTGAGGAATATTGTGAGTGAGACAGAACTTCGACGCTCAATTTGTTTAATTTTTGGGCGGTGATTTGTGACATTTGCGGACGGGCGTTGTCGTGGAGCAAAATCGGACGTCTTCTGTTGACCAGTGCCGGCTGCTGCTAACGCAATTCTTGGTACATTTCATTGATTTTCTCACAATAGCACTCTGCTGTGATGGTTTGGCCCGGTCGCAGAAAGTTATAGTGAATCACACCAGCCGGTAACCACCACATAGTCGTAGAGGATTCACTTTTTATCACACGTGACGATTCGATCCAAAAAAGGGTCGTTTCGGTTGCGCAATAGCAAGAAAATCGTACCTGAAAACGTGATCATTTCTGTCGATCGTTCAAATCGTGGGGCACCTACTTTTCGAGCTTCTTAACATTTTCAATACAATTTGAACCATAAAAACTGCATGGAAGCTGACGCCAAAAATCGCTTAACGATTTTCTGGTCTATTTAAACATCGGTAAATTAAAAAAACTAAAAAATGATATAACAAGGTCAAGTATAGTCACAACATTACAAATTCTACTTATCAGAAAAACCCATTCCCAAAGAAGTATCTTTTATTATGGCCCAACATTTTTCAACTTTCTTCCTGAATCCCCATAAGGATTATTTTCACAACGTTTCGGCAAATTCGCATTTGCCATCTTCTAGTGATGTCTGGTTTTTTCAACCATACTGATTAGTTCGAACTCTGTGTCTCAATTTATAGGGATGGATGTTTCCCTTTACCTGCGTTGAAGCCACTACCTATGTTTGCTCGACTACCTGTTTTGGTCTTATTACCTGAGCTGCCTCTGTTATTGTACCTTTATTGTCATGTGCCGAGTTTGGCTTCTGGGGTTGAGCAGTCTGATTGCTTGTGCGAAGCGATAAAACGGATCTCCATGTTGATGGTAATCTTTGCGCATCATCCCTCTTGTTCATATTATTAGGTCGTTTTTCAATTTCGATAACCTCTCTGATTGTTCGTGAGTAAAAGTTTTCGTTGCTTGCTAGCATTTTTGTCTTATCGAAATTGATGTTATGTCCTGTCTGCAGGACCTTATTGTCCGTTCTGGTACGAATGAAGTTGATATGTTGTGCCGGCGAAGAATTCTGCTGATTTTATCTGTTGTTCCTGCAATATATGGTAGTGTGGTTGTTATGACCGATGAATCTCGAGTTTTATGTTGTTTCCGTCTGGTCTTGGCAGCCGTTTTTATACTTCTTTCTGAGTAGTTATTCATTTGTAGGGTTGTTTCGATGGTGTTCAACTATTGTTGTCTGCGATCGTTGTCTGCCAGCCTCCTCGAACGTGTAATTAGTGTTTTTGCCACCGCGTGATTTGATGAACCAGACATCACCAGAAGATGGCAAATGAGACTTTGCCGAAACGTTGTGAAAATAATCCGTATGGGGATAAAATACACAGAACACGGAGCGAAATCCGAGAAAAATAGCTCATCATACTTCATCCGTGAGAATCTTCGAGTTAACATATATATATACACAATCGGAAAAGTCTGGGGATATTTTTAAAAATGGCAATAATTTTTTTTTAGATCGCTTTAGGGAAAAAAGTTGACGGTTGATTATTAAACGAATGTAACTTACAACAAAATTTATTAAATGGTCAAAAATACTGAGTGCGCATATAAGCAAAACTTAAAAAAATATAGCTCTTCTTTGGCACCCCGAAAAAAAATCATAATACAAAAAAAANTTTAATTGACATATATTAGACAAGTTGATAACTTTTTAAATAAGAATATAGCGAGTGTCCCAAATAGATAAATATGTAATACACTACACGTACACATTGAAAAATGTGTGATGTTAGAAAATGATAAATAAAATCATTCAATCCACGGTATAAAATCAACGGAGAATTTCATACTTTTCATGAAATTTCAGGTTGGAATGGGAATCTGCAGTACTTCGAGGTGCCAGTACGTTTCAGGCATTAGAAGAGGAACGTCTCAACAACCTCAAATCTGTCCTTACATCTTACCTCCATCACAGTAACGATCTTGGTCCGAGACTCATTGAGGTAAGGAAAATCTAGATTTGATTTCATTTTGAACTGATTAAATACGAGTTGATTTGCAATATATTTTCTGTCATTATTAATAAATAAAAAATTGGATCATAAAAACAGGTGTTCAAAACTCATCTTCAAAAAATATTTTGCTGAAATCAAAAATATATGTATTTTTTCCTCAACATTTTCATAATAAATTATATTAAACTAAATGAACGTGCCTAAAGTTCAATAAAATCCTAAAAATCAACCCCCCCCTTTTCAGTAGCGCATTCTTAATTATACTATAAAGAGCAGACTACTGAACTGGTGTTCTATTACACAGCAAGTTTTTCTATTTTGCAAATAGAAAATGACATTTACTAAAACAATATATTTTTTTCATTAAAATAATATATCAACTACACTACATCTAAGAAATTTTGTAAGAATAACATAATTTGGAAAACTATGAATAACAAAAAAATAATATAATTTTTATTGAGTTACAAATTGACAAATTTTGTGTCAACTCTCCTTATTAAAAGTACTCTTAACTACTACAAGTCATTTATTACCTCAAAATCCAATGGTAAATTATTCTTAACTCATTAACAAGTTCTCCATAACTGGTTATCATTCCATATGATTTCTAGCTTGTAAGTTCTTTCGAAATTCTAGAAAAAGGGTGAATCTTTGGAACGTTTCAGAACACTTGCAAGTGGGGTTTTCAACATGTCTGACAAATGAATAATTCTAGTTCAACAGAGAATCTGCTCAAATTTAATGAAGAGTAAACTGAACAGTTTACACCCCTAAAGGTTGTTACGTAACATAAACTTCTGAAGAAGAATGAGAAGACTAATTTGTCGTATTTATAAATTCTTAAATCGAAAATAAAACGTGTTAATCCGCTCCCAAAATTTTATTTGAATTGAAAAATTGTAGTTGATATCAACAGAAAGAAGGTGAAGATTAGGATGGGTAGTAAAAATTCCAACAAAAACAAGCATCAATGTCCAGAAAAATCTGCCAAGCAATATATGCAAGACCATTTAGAATTTAAATCAGAATTATGGAAAGAACTTGGTATTCAGGTTATCTGTTTTATCTTCAATGTTTTACCTAAATTTTGTGTAAATTGAACTTCCGTTGTAGTTCTTGTTATTTTAATTGACTCTTGACAAAATTAACTGCTACTCTACTCTCATAGATGAATGTGTAGGTATATATTAGAGGTAAGTCTATAGAAATACCAGCTAATTATTTACAAGGCTGAACCCAAAGGGTCAAAATAAACGACAATTATAGCCAGACACAACCAGTCGCCATGGGTGTTCCTCAGGGCACTGTCATGAGTCCAATTATATTCCTAATATATATTAACAGCATTTACGAACTGAAGGACGTTGATGGTGATATTGTTTCATTTGCCGATGATACGGCATTGATTTTCTATGGTAACACGGAAATCTACTCATGCAAAAGCACAAAACGGATTGAATATTGTATTCTCTTGGCAAAATTTTAGTCTCCTGAGTCTAAACATCGACAAAAAAAATTCTTAACCTTCATATCATCAACATAAGAGACCAACCACTAGAGGAAAACATTTTCATACACACCCCCAATTGCCAAACTCCTATAATTTGTTCTTGTCCACGTACAAAGAAAACAGATACAATAAAATATGTAGGTGTAATGCTTGACCAACATGTACGCTGGGACAAACATGTAGATTTTCTCGTGAAAAGACTCTACCAACTCAGAAACATACTAAATAAACATTCATTACCAATGACATACGATGAATTAGCTGAATCAGTTATAAAGTACTGTATTACTGTTTGGGGTGGGTTGAATAAAACACACTTACATAATCTTCAAGTCATACAACACACAAAGCTCAAGATAGTACTGAAGAAAGATAGAAGACGTCCAACTGATAGTTAAAATGAGGAAGCTAGTTTATTCAATATACACCTATCACTATGTACTATGGACGTTGAACTCGCCTCTCACATATCTGACACAAATACACGGCACACGAGCCAGATCCGAGAGAACAATTATAGCGTATATATCCAAAGGTTTGTTACTTACTTTGGACCGAAACTTGTCAATCGAGTTCTCATTGAACTGAGAAATATAAAAAATAATAATGAACACAAGAAAACAATTAGATCCTTCGTTGATCACAACATTGATTTCTTAAAAGAAATATTTGAATCAACTCACTGAATCATGCCTGAAATATTGTTAATCTCACTTAGACCTGTCTCCCTTTCGCCGGATTTTATGGTCAAATCCTCCTGAGGGTTGATCATTGCTTTCTATTGATTTCTTTCAATTATAAATTTTCATTTTTAACTGAAAGAAATGAATAATTTGTTTTTTTTCTCACTTACATTCATGGTTGTGTCTAGATCTGGGAAAATACGCAACACAAGCTTTGCTTTGGCGTTTCCCAAGAACTTAACATCACAACGTATTTATTGTTATTTATTTATTTTTTTTTAATTTACTGTAATCATTACTAAATATATGCTAATATTTATTATAGACATGAATATGCATCTGAATTGCATAAATTGAATGATTGATTGATTGATATTATGAAATGCATTGATTCAACCAAAACATGTACTGACTCTGTAACCATAATTTATTTCAATTTGAGAATCTATGTGATCTTAGTCTGAAAAAAATATATCTGTAATACACTTTCCACATTTTCAAATATATTCGAGACTGAATTTTGAAAACTATCAGTGCACCTTGATCTGCATCACTTGGCTGGNTAAATGGACGGCCCTCTAAGTTGAAAAACGCAAAAAATTTTAATTTGAAAAAAGGAACATCATGAAATGTATACAGAACAAAATTGTCTGTTGATTAGTGTATTCCACGACACAGTAGAATAAATATTTATTGAAATATGGAGCTACAAAAACGCATGACATTAAAACGGACCAAACTTATGAAACCACCTAATAATCAGAAAAAACCCAGAATTAGAATTCTAATTTTGTACAAATCCACATTTCAGTCACATTCTGAAAATGGAATGCTGAAGAAAATGTAGAAAAATAGTCCACAAATGCTTCAAGAGAAAATTAGTATTGTTGTATTCGTCAGCCATTGAAGTGAACCAATTAACTTTCCTTGGTTCATTACTTTCTCTTCCTCATCTTATTTGAAATTTACTTGTCGCGTTCAAATAACTGATTGTTTCATTTTTTGTTTCAGTTGGAGGGGAAGAAACGCAAAGCTGAGGACGCTGTCAAAAAGGCTGATGTCGAGTATTATTCACTCTGTGTAAAATCGGAGAGAGCAAGGTATTTATCATAAGGGATTAATGACTTCCCTGATTGTTTTGTTCAGTATACTGAAAACTATGCGAGGAGAATTCAATAATATTGATTTTTTTCATCTCTTTTACAATATCACTTTTTGTCTTCATCAACCGTTGCTTATGGAAATAATCTTAGGAAAGAAGTTACCAATCCACTCATTGTTGGATTTTTTGTCTAATTCAGTGAAAACTTTGACTCAACTACATTTTTAAACTTAAAAAACTGAATTATTTCTGTTAGTCTGTTTTCAAACATCAAATTTCAGATATTTGTAGTGTTTCATTAATATGTTTTTAAAATTGAAAATATATTATTATTTGAACAGTAACCTAACAAATATATTTAAAACACTTCCAAAATACAAATCGGAAAATTATAAAATAACAACAAACATTAATTGGCTGTCCGAGGCGACTTTATTGATTCCAGTGGCGCATTTACTTTTTCAGCTGCAGGAAAAACCTGCAGCACCACATCATCTGAAGATCTTAATCTGCCAATGTTCTCTCTCTCATAAAACAAAATGTAGGGTGTCTTCAGAGACTCCAATGAATTCAAAACTTCGTCAAAACACTTAATGACACGACTATCGTCAAACTTATTAGATATTAATTTTTCTATGTTTGTTAATGATATTTTGCTGTTTCGTTTGAGTAAACGATTGCAAATGTAATCAAAACCTCTACTTTTTCATTAATTTTTTTCGGATTATAAAAGTGTTTTGGTCGACTTCATCGATATATCATGAGGTGCTTGTATCTAACTCTATATA